TGTGAGTTGGTGATTGTGCATGTGCATATGGCTAGGTTTCAGTGATTATGTTCATGTGTGTGTGCACACATGTGGGTGTATGTTAATGTTTGCATGGATGTGTTTGTGAGTGTGCATATAGGCTGTTTGTTAATGACTGTGTGGGTGTGACTGTGTTAATGACTGTGTAGGTGTGACTGTATGTTAATGATTGTGTGGGTGTATGTTAATGATTGTGTGGGTTTGGCTGTGAGTTAGGGATTGTGTGGGTGTAATTGCAAGTTGGTTATGAATGTACCTGTGTGGGAGGAAATTACTGCGATCAGAGAATGCAGATATATTTGAGCTTGTCGGCAGTTGATTATGTTTATCTGATGAATACGATGCTGAAATCCTGTGAAAGGAAAACTGATTCTATTTAAATTCTAACACACATGTACGTGACCATTGCTCGATTCCTCATGTGATTTGATTATTTATTATTTTATCTTTGTGTATGTAGGTTACCTTATAATTGTCTGCTGTTTCATCATCCAGCATTGGGTTACATTTTTCCCGTTATTTTGTTTTAATGATATTAAAATAACATTGATTTTCTGGACATATTCATGGCTTGTTTGCTAAAGCATCACTCTCACTGTGTTGTCATGTCAGTTTGTGTTGTCATGTCAGTGTCTGTGTTGTCATGTCAGTGTGTGTGTTGTCATGTCAGTGTGTGTGTTGTCATGTCAGTGTGTATGTTGTCATGTCAGTGTGTGTGTTGTTATGTCAGTGTGTGTTGTCATGTCAGTGTGTGTGTTGTCATGTCAGTGTGTGTGTTGTCATGTCAGTGTGTATGTTGTCATGTCAGTGTGTATGTTGTCATGTCAGTGTGTATGTTGTCATGTCAGTGTGTATGTTGTCATGTCAGTGTGTGTGTTGTCATGTCAGTGTGTGTGTTGTCATGTCAGTGTGTGTGTTGTCACGTCAGTGTGTGTGTTGTCACGTCAGTGTGTGTGTTGTCATGTCAGTGTGTGTATTGTCATGTCAGTGTGTGTGTTGTCATGTCAGTGTGTGTGTTGTCATGTCAGTGTGTATGTTGTCATGTCAGTGTGTGTGTTGTTATGTCAGTGTGTGTTGTCATGTCAGTGTGTGTGTTGTCATGTCAGTGTGTGTGTTGTCATGTCAGTGTGTAGGTTGTCATGTCAGTGTGTGTGTTGTCATGTCAGTGTGTGTGTTGTTATGTCAGTGTGTGTGTTGTCATGTCAGTGTGTGTGTTGTTATGTCAGTGTGTGTGTTGTTATGTCAGTGTGTGTGTTGTCATGTCAGTGTGTGTGTTGTCATGTCAGTGTGTATGTTGTCATGTCAGTGTGTATGTTGTCATGTCAGTGTGTATGTTGTCATGTCAGTGTGTGTGTTGTCATGTCAGTGTGTGTGTTGTCATGTCAGTGTGTATGTTGTCATGTCAGTGTATGTTGTCATGTCAGTGTGTGTGTTGTCATGTCAGTGTGTATGTTGTCATGTCAGTGTGTGTTGTCATGTCAGTGTGTGTGTTGTCATGTCAGTTTGTGTGTTGTCATGTCAGTGTGTGTTGTCATGTCAGTGTGTGTGTTGTCATGTCAGTTTGTGTGTTGTAAAATTTGGTGCAAAGTTCTGGTTGTTCATCAGCTTGTGAACTCTGGTCTTGTTCTGAAACATGAGTTTTGTGTCCATGTCCATTTTACAGATCTGGCTTATCTGTATGCAGCTTGTTGGTTCCTTGCCTCTCAGGCAGATGCGCTCTCACTTGAAAAGAAACACCCCTGTTTACTTGCCTTATAGGACATGCTTGGAGGGGGGGGGGGAGTTGTTCTGGTCTCTTTTCCCCAGAAAGGGGTCTCTGAACCCACACAGGCGAGGTGCGGATTTGAACTCTTACCTTTGGGCGGGCTGATAAACATCGATCTACTGCTGCTTCCTCAGAGTGGTTAACGTCAGATTAAAAATTAAGGTGTGCATACAGAGAAGTTGAAAAGTTCGTTGCTTATCTTTTACAGGACGTTGCAGAACCAACTCCAGCATTATCACGCTGTTGTGGTTTTTCTAGGCAAATTTTATGTTTAGTAGTTTGCTATTGCTTCTGAACAGTCAGCTGTCTGTAACACAAGACAAATTGTCCGCAGCTGGGATCTAACCCGGCACCACGGCATTATGAAGCGCATTCACAATGCCTAAGCCACAGATGTTGACACACAAAGTAGACAAGGCAAAATAAAACAGTGTTGTAAAGTACTTCTGACTCTAGTGTAGAAGAGGAAATGCTTAAACAAGCCTTAACTCATTCAGTCTTAAGCTCCTTTGGTTTAACTCCCTCTGTTCTGGGCAGTCACCAGTGAGTTCAAATTCACTTAAAGTTGAATCCAATAAGTCCTGGAAAGAAATGACGGCCTGTGGGATGTTGACCAATTTACCTACTGAGGTCCTTTTGGTCTATACAAATATGGGTCTAACATTTAAATCCTGTACTCGTCATCCTCTTATGGCAAGCAATTTTTAGTTTAGTTGAAGCCTTTCCATGGCTTTTGCTGGGGGCCCTAAATATAGCCGGGCCTGAAATATGGCCTAACGGCTGAATAGGGTTTCTGGGACCTCTTCACGAGTGATCCTCATCTGCATGGTGGCACTTTGAGTCACTCGGTGTTTATCACTTGTGTGATGTCCTGGTGGGGTTCAATTTACATATATACATAGATCATATTCCTGCTGGTGTTAAAAAGGCCTTTTACTGTTTAACTTTAACATTAAAAAAAGTTAACCAGGTAATAATGTGTAAAGTTTACAAATATATGTTTCAGTTGTTTTTCATGTTTCTACACCATACACCAGTACCTAATATTTTTTACCTATTTCCTTTTTGCTCCGAGAAGCCTATATCTAGTCACTTCTGGTAGTGCCACATCCCTGTAAATGCCAATACTTGACCTTGTCTGCGGTGACCTGTTCTCAAAAAGTGTAGATAATTTGCATTGGTCCAATGTGGGCCTGCACTGGTGTCTACTAGTCCAGGACATGAGTAAAGTAATTCAAGTAATAAAAAGTAGATTTTAGGGGTTTTCCTTATGACCTTAGGGTGCTTTTGAAAGCTAAGTTGATGTCAAATGTTCCTGTAAGACTCAGTGATACAGGTCATATGGTCATCATATGAGTCACCTGAAACATTTTGGTGTTTTATGCCCCATGGGAATGTATTTTATTGACAGCTCAACTCTGTCCATATTGATTGATTATCCCTTTGTATATTTAGAAAATGAAAAATAATTACAATTGTAGTTAAATATATTTTTGTAAAAACAACAACAATGTTTTAGTGACCTGTGTTAAATGGTTTTTGTTTTTTAAGGATTGTATTCTGGAAATTCAAACTGGCTCTTGTCCATCCCCTACACCTGTTTTTTTTTTTTTTTTTAGCATTCACATAACAGAAAGGTTAAATTGATAATGTACATTGGGCCAGAAAATGTCTCAGCTCAGTAGCGAGCACTCTGCCAGCCAGCCTGTTTGTCGTGTTCATATCCACACCCACACATGTTTGATTACTGTTTGATTGTTGTGTTTGTGCACATGTTTCTTTGTTGTGTTTGTGCACATGTTTCTTTGTTGTATTTGTGCACATGTTTGATTGTTGTGTTTGTGCACATGTTTCTTTGTTGTGTTTGTGCACATGTTTGATTGTTGTGTTTGTGCACATGTTCCATTGTCATGTTTGTGCACATGTTCCTTTGTTGTATTTGTGCACATGTTCCATTATAATTATTGTGTTTGTGCACCTGTTCCTTTGTTGTGTTCATGCATATGTTGGATTGTTGTGTTTGTGCACATGTTCTATTGTTATGCTTTCCATTATTGTAGCTGTGTACATCTTTTATCCTGATGGTATACATGTTTTATCACTGTGATTGTGCACATGTTTTATCACTGTGATTGTGCACATGTTTTATCACTGTGATTGTGCACATGTTTTATCACTGATTGTGCACATGTTTTATCACTGTGATTGTGCAAGTGTTAATTGATCTAGCTTTACACTTGTTTGTCTTTGTTCTTGTTCACAAGAGGAGTATAATCAGCATGAATAATTGACACAAAGGATGTTCAACTATTGGATGTATATGCTTTTTTTTCTTTTTCAAGATGATGTATCCACTTTCATTCATTATTGTCTTTGCTGATTGCTCTCTTGTCATTCTTTTGTCACATGATGTCACAACAAGTAAATAAATATGGTCTACGTGTGTCATCTGTCTTTGTTCTGTATTGTTCTATCACCTGTCTGTGTTCTGTGTTGTTCTGTCACCTGTCTGTGTTGTTATGTCACCTGTCTTTGTTGTTGTCACATGTCTTTGTTGTTGTCACCTGACTGTTTTGTTCTGTCACCTGTATGTGTTGTTCTGTCACCTGACTGTTTTGTTATGTCACCTGTATGTGTTGTTCTGTCACCTGACTGTATTGTTCTGTCACCTGTCTGTGTTGTTCTGTCACCTGTATGTGTTGTTCTGTTACCTGTATGTATTGTCCTGTCACCTGACTGTATTGTTCTGTCACCTGTCTGTATTGTTCTGTCACCTGTCTGTGTTGTTCTGTTACCTGTATGTGTTGTTCTGTCACCTGACTGTATTTTTCTGTCACCTGTATGTGTTGTTCTGTCACCTGACTGTTTTGTTCTGTCACTTGTTTATGTTATTTTGTCATTTAATATTAGAGTGTATGTCATATGTCTATGTTACTTTAGAGTCTGATGCTGGACTGT